TACATTGAATACTTAAAACCCATCCGTTGTGCCTAGAGGTATCGTTTTTCTTTACTTTACTTTGAAAAAAATAAAGTAAAGACAAGAAAAATTGAGTTATTTTACTTTGTCAGGTAAGGCAAAGAAAAAATGCCCACACACAGTTACGTTCAAGTTGTACCTAGGTGAAACTGATAGAATTTTTACATTTTATAGAGTGCATGGATACGAATGAACTTCCTAATTTCACCCTATATTCTATATTCGGGATTTTCACACTATGTAAAATGATTAGATGAATCCACATTCATATATATCATATTTGACTATTTATTTCTTACATAGACTTAGAGTTATTCATAAAATACGTCCAGTAGATGTTTCGATCCAATCTGCTTCCACTTTCGGTTTTGTTGGACTATTATCTGTCTCTTTCGAACACGGAACTACTGATAGCAAATTTTTTCAACGTGTTTCATCTGTCTTTGAAAAACGTTTCTGAATATATATTTCGATTCTTCACTCTGTTTGTCAATTAGAAGGTTCAAACGAAACCTCAATAAAACAAATCTAATTCTAGCCACGAAACAAATGTTGTGGGTGTGGGTGTGTTTGTTGCTCTTCTAATCATCTACATCCACCCACCCTATTTCCTTTTAGAAATATTCATTTCATGAGAAAGAAAACTGGTCTAATGAAAGCAAACTTCAAACTATTCGACTGAGTATTTTCATTTTCTGTGACCGATTGCCTTGAAGACGAATAAATAAAGTTGCATTGAGACAACACAGTGCGCCTTTTTGAATGATAAGAAGAAAAGAATCGGTTACACAGAATAACAACAAATATCAAAATCAATATGCATGTTTCTCTTTTCATCATTGAAAAGCTCTGTCTCAATGCGATTTTACTTCAATCATTCTTGAGGCAAACATTCCGATTGGTTTAGTCACAGAAAATGAAGGCAGTCTGCCGAATACACCGAAGTTTGCTTTCACTTTCAACCAAAAAAGCAACCGAACCCATTATGTTGACGATGAATGAATAAAGTTACGTTGAGACAAGCAAACTCTAACAAAAATTGATTGCAAATCTACAAGTATTTGGTCTCTTCTTATTGCTAGACGACGTCGTTTATCCTCACTATAATACAAATGAAGTTCTGAAGCTCGATCCGAATTCCTAGAAAGTACATGATATCGCTTGTAAATTCTCTTTTAGATAAAACAGTACATTGCAATCGCACAAGTTCTTTTTTCGACCATTTGCTTTTACTGGAAGTAGAAAATTATTATTGATTGTCGGGCTCGGTTTTAGACGAAGAACGTTGGTGTGAGCTCTAGGAACAATTACATGTAATTACAAGCATAAAGTAAATTTGCAGGTAAGCGAAGCGTTTTTTTTTCTTAACAAATGCAAAATCTATTAAAGATATTCAACTTTGATACAGCCACAAAAAAGTACATCTAGATTCATACAATTATTCTATACTACCATTATAGATCTGTCACATTTATAATTACGAAAATGAGTCCGAGTCATTTCTACCTGCCCTTCATATTTCACACTATGTAAGACCCATTGAACTTATTAACTAAAACACTTATTATCAATTTTTAATAAGATTTCTGGTTATGCATGCCGACGAGGTCATAACACTTTGTCCAACGGCTGTATGGGGGGCATCGACTGCTACCACAGTGGCTGGTTCATCGTCGGGTTTGCCAGGTTCAACTCCAAACATGCTTCGTTTGCCATGGGCTGTATTTGTTGACAACACATCCACTGTCTACGTCTCAGACTGGGCAAACAATCGCGTAACAAAATGGTTAGCAAACGCCCCCAATGGGACAACTGTGGCGGNCCGATTCTTTTCTTCTTATCATTCAAAAAGGCGCACTGTGTTGTCTCAATGCAATTTTATTTATTCGTCTTCGAGGCAATCGGTCACAGAAAATGAAGACAGTATACCGAATACACCGAAGTTTGCTTTCACTTTCAACAAAAAAAAAAAGCAACCGGACCCATTATGTTGACGATGAATGAATAAAGTTACGTTGAGACAAGCAAACTCTAACAAAAATTGGTTGCAAATCTACAAGTATTTGGTCTCTTCTTATTGCTAGACGACGTCATTTATCCTCATTACAATACAAATGAAGTTCTGAAGCTCGATCCGAATCCCTAGAAAGTATATGATATAGCTTGTAAATTCTCTTTTAGATAAAACAGTACATTGTAATCGCACAAGTTCTTTTTTCGACCATTTACTTTTACTGGAAGTAGACAATTATTATTGATTATCGGGCTCGGTTTTAGACGAAGAACGCCGGCGTGAGCTCTAGGAACAATTACATGTAATTACAAGCATAAAGTAAATTTGCAGGTAAGCGAAGCGTTTTTTTTCTTAAAAAATGCAAAATCTATTAAAGATATTCAACTTTGATACAGCCACAAAAATGTACATCTAGGTTCATACAATTATTCTATACTATCATTATAGATCGGTCACATTTACATTTACGAAAATGAGTCCGAGTCATTTCTACCTGCCCTTCATATTTCACACTATGTAAGACACATTGAACTTATTAACTAAAAAAATTATTATCAATTTCTAATAAGATTTCTGGTTATGCATGCCGACGAGGCCATAACACTTTGTCCAACGGCTGTATGGGGGGCATCGACTGCTACCACAGTGGCTGGTTCATCGTCGGGTTTGCCAGGTTCAACTCTAAACATGCTTCGTTTGCCATGGGCTGTATTTGTTGACAACACATCCACTGTCTACGTCTCAGACTGGGCAAACAATCGCGTACAAAAATGGTTAGCAAACGCCACCAATGGAACAACTGTGGCTGGCGGCAACCCCGGCATAGCTCTTAATCAATTGACTGATCGTGAGTAGTATTCGCCCTGTTTGTGTATTGTTCACTTTCCTTCATTTCAGCCAGAGGTATAAGTGTAGATGCGAACGGCCATGTCTACGTGGTTGATTCGATCAATGCGCGAGTGATGAAATGGGCACCAAACAGCACAGCCAATGCTAATGGCACCATTGTAGCTGGTGGTAACGGCACGGGTAGTGGAGTCAACCAACTCAATTATCCAGACGGTCTGTTCGTCGAAAGTGAGACGGGTATCGTTTGGATTGCGGACACCAACAATCATCGTATAGTCAAGTGGTTATCACCATCAGCGGGTTCTGTTGTTTGTGGTAGCTATGGCAGTGGACTCAAAGAATTCGCGTTCCCACGCGGGCTTTTCGTCGATACCAGCGCCTCAAACACTCTTTATGTGGCAGATACTGGAAACCATCGAATCCAAAAATGGCTTTCCGGCGCAAGCAGCGGTACAACAGTGGCAGGACAACCACACATTTCCGGTAATGCACTCAATCAACTCTACAACCCACAAGCTGTCATTGTCGATTTCAATGGCAACATATTCATTGCGGATACATTTAACAACCGAATCATGCTCTGGAGAAATGGAGACATCACAGGCAGCGTAGTTGTGGACAGCAGTACTGCACCCTCGCAACTGAATGGACCACAAAGTCTAAGCTTGTATCCCGATGAAGCCATTGCCGTTGCCGATTCATTCAATATGCGAGTCCAAAAATTTGTCCTATCTTGTCGTGAGTTGCTCAGATGCACACCATTTAGCTTCGTTTTCATTGTCTTTTTGAATAGCTACTACTACTACTACAACTACAACAACCTCAACAACTACAACGACCACATCAATTACAATGATTACAATAATTACAACGACTACAATGACTACAATGACTACAATGACTACAACGACCGCAATGACAGCAACGACTGCAACGACAACAACGGTCATATCGACCACAACCACTAAAACATCAAGTATTTTGAATCGTTTTTCATCATTCTCTTATTTCTTTATAAGCATAAGTCGATGATTCCGGCCTTCGGAAATAATCGGATTTCACTAGAACCGGCAGGAAAGATACGAGAAAAGTCACTGTATCCGGCAGGAAAACACCGGAAATCACTGGAACATATAAGCAGTATTCCGACCGGAAAGAACATGAAGTTGGCTGGAATCCATCGTCAAAAAGCCGAAAAAATCTCCGCTGGAATACTGCTTCCATGTTCCGGTAATATCTGGTGTTGTACTGCTGGAACCGGCCTGTACTTCTTGGCCCGGGAGAGAACACTTATTGCCTTTACCACTCACCTGTTGGTCATCATATGCGTGACTGTTGGTATTCAAATATCTTGCTCCATTTAGTATGGAAATACCCGGCAACTGAAGATCTTCAATTATATATATATATGTTGTCTACTTCAGTTTTCATTGTTGACGACTCGACTTTTTTCTGAAAGAATCCGTGTTCAATTCTGTACAAGAATGTATAAGAAGACTCGATATTACCAATCAGCATGAGAATTTGCAAAAAACAATATTGTAAAATTCCAACATGCTCAACTTTCGAGGATGTGGATGTGGATGTGGATGTAGACGTAGTGAAGAAGAGCATCCGCACCCACACCCACATCCTTCTTATACGTTCTTGTAGAGAATTGACGAAAATGTTTGGAAAAAAGTTGACGCATCAGCAATGAAAAATAAAGAAGATATTGGCGAAATAGTGAGACCGTCATTTTCTTGGACCACCCGATGTAGAAGAAATGAAAGAAAGAAAGCATTGTCGGGATTATCTTTTTTTAAATGCAAATATTTGCATAAATACGAAACAAAAATTACGGCCCAAGTTCCCGGTCGTAATTACTGTAGTTTCTACGAAATATGGACAATATCTTTTGTATAATATAAAGTCATGCTTGTCTGTGTTCGCGTGTTAGTCGTTTGTTAATGTTTTCAAGACATCTCAATTTTGTTTAATTTACATTTAAGCCACAACTCAGCCACTGCTGCATGGTTATTGGAACACAACAGGCGTAACGATAGCCGGTGGTTATGGTTCGAATGCCTCTCAGTTAAACTATCCATTGGATGTTGCAATCGATTCGAACAATTATCTGTATGTGGCTGATTTTAACAATTGTCGTATTCAACGTTGGCTAGTCGGAAATCTGACTGGCGTAACTGTGGCTGGCACTACTAGTGTTTGTGGTAGTAATGCAAATCAGCTCCGTGCGCCCACTTGTGTTTTTGTTCATTCAAATGGTGCTTTGTACATATCGGACTCTAGCAACACCAGAATTCAGCGCTGGACCAACGGAGCAAGTAGTGGTACAACTGTGGCAACCAACATCATCAGTTACGGTGTCTATGTTGATAGCTCCGGGACGCTCTATGCATCAGATTGGAATAATCACCAAGTATTGCGTTGGCCAGGAAGTGGAGGTATCACGAACGTTATTATCGCAGGTGGCAATGGACCAGGTTCCGCTTCAAATCAACTGTCTTCCCCAAAAGGTATATATGTGGATTCATCTTCGTCGTATGTTTACGTGGCCGATACTTTCAATCACCGTATCCAACGGTGGTCTATTGGAGACTCAACAGTTTCAACTGTTTGTGGCGGCAACGGATTAGGTTTAGGCATGCATCAACTGAGTAATCCGAGCAGTGTGCTTGTTGACAATTCCGGCTATATATATGTGTCAGATTCTGGTAATAACAGAATCGTCCAATGGGGACCAAGTGCGACTTACGGCGTCCTCTTAGTGGGTTCGTATGGCTCACAAGCGTCTCAATTTAGCACACCATACGGTATTAAATTCGATTCGAACTGGAACTTGTATGTGGCTGACAGTGGCAATTCACGAATTCAAAAATTCTACAATCAACAATCTCCCTCAACTTCAGCTGCCACGGGTACGTTTTAACAGAATGCTAAGAAAGTGTCCCAATCATATCGAATGAAATTCTCGAGGAGAAAAAAGCTCTGATCTTGAGAACAAGTCAAGAAATTAAATAACGAGACTTTTCAGACATTTATCATTTCTAGATTATGATATTCTGATCCGAAAATTTTCTTTAAAAAAGACCCACTACATTTTTCTCTGATTGGTATTGCCAAAATTGTCAAAACTGTAAAATATACTTCATTAGACGATATGTTTCTGCAATCAATTTTCACAATTCTGATGCAAGTTTTCAATAATACTTCTACATAAAATGTTTTCATTTTCTCGACCAGATTACTTTCGTATCGAATATTTTCCATTTTGATATGCGTTCGTATTTGCTGTAAGCTATTTCTTCTACATAATTTTGACCCGAAAATCGATATATACCGATCTGTAGGTATTAGTACATCAGCCTAATTTGGATATTTATGCACCCAGTATTTCATTTTCTTTAGGGACAATGAATCCAGTGGAATTGGTTTCGCTAGTGTTTGTGCTATTCAATTTCATGATGAGTGTGATGGGTACATAGACTTTACAGTTACCTTTTGACACTATGTTTTCCTCAATTTTATTGTCTTTTTATCTTTATCTTCACAGCTATAATCAAGATTCTTGCTTTTCTAACAAATAAATTCATATTTATATGCAATTACTATCTGATTGTTCACTGTTGCCGTGATAAGTAGTCATCGTCGATCAAACTTTCAATATGTCTTTTTTTCTAAATAAATATAAGATTTGGCATAGAGTGAGCTTGGCCCCCTGTAAACTACGCGAACACCTCGAAAGGAAAGATATCGTATATCTATTTATATAGGTAGATAGAACTCAATGAGTTATGTCCACGAACACCTATTTCGAATCGTTCGGAGTGACATTTTCCGAAGGATCGAGAATTTGGTGATTGTCCCTTTCGATCGATGATATCAATTGATACATCAATATCTCGACAACTCCATCTGAATAAGTTCAGAATCATCAGCGAACCTTCAATCTATCGGAAAATATTGATATGAGCACTCGATCTAAGTCTTCGATGCCCATCCCAAGGTCCCAATCCGAGAGTTGTTCACTCATCAAAACGAGTTTGTTAGAAAACATTTTCTCCGTCTTCACATCTATGCTATCATCTCCTTGATACTCATCAGTTGATTTGAACGGATATACTTCCTTTTGTCAAACATGTGCTGGCACGTTGACCTAAACATAACTTGAGTTCCACTGTGAGCTCATTTGGAGATCCAAATATTAAATCGTCATCACTTTTCGAATTAATTCGAATCTATCTGTATGAAAAATCTTCGACTGAGAGAACTTTTTTGTGATGGAACGGAAAGTCGAAAATAAGGATAACAGAGTGAACACGACATCGATCTTTCGGTGTAAGAAAGAAATCGTTATCTTTCTCAAACGTCCAATTTCAAGACAAGCAATTCGATCACTTTCATTATCATTGCGAGGTGTTTCATCGACATTATGTGGGCTTTGACTCAACGTGAATTCAAACATTTCTCGAGCATGTCTGAGAAGTGACATCTTGAGCAGCTTCTTTTCACTCAAAACAATTAAAGTGATGAGATTTTCATTTTCTTATTTTTCGTTCTTTCTTTCGAGATGATGTGAACCGTTGAGACACAAATGAAGACCTGTAGCTCCTCTAATTGATTTGCTCGTTTGCACTTTGGTGAATAGAACACCGAATCACTCTTTGTGCATCAATCAGAATTGCGTTTGACGGTACAAAGAAAAATTCCAATATTTTCTACGTGTCACATACCTCTATTTGCGATCGTGATGAAAAATATGAATGTACTTTACCGTAAAAAGCAATTAAAACGCATGAATGTGAATTTGATTGTATTCACAGCGCTGACTTCCACTAAGAAAAGTGATTCCTTGCACTTATGGCGCAGAATAAATACAAAACCTATTGACTGAAAGGATGGTCGCGACTGGAGAAAGAAAAAATTTTCATTCTTTCACTGTTAGACGTATTTAGTAACGAAAGAAAGTCAACAACCCTCTTGCCAAACAAATCTCTCAGATTGGCAAGAAAAGAAATTCTTTTCTTCACAACGACGATATAACATCTTTTACGGTAAGTTTAAATGAGAAGAAAAGATTTCTTAGCTTTTAGATGACTCGCTTTTTTTTCGTTACAGCGAAAATAGATCAAGATCTTATTCCAAGATAATATATTATCAACAAATAAGTTTTTAGAAGCATACATTTGATAGATGGCAAAGGTTCAGCAATCACCTTCGGCAATCATTTAATAAACATAAGCGAAAAAAATGAGTAATAGAACAAAGACAAAAAGCGACAAAACCAAGATAAGAAATAACACTGTATTTCTTTTGAAAGATCTGAAAGACAATATTTTTGAAACTCATGAAGTGATGAACAAAAGAGAGAACAAATTATCAAGAGTATTAGTATTCTGGTCCACGTGTACTAAACTCCCACTTATTTGATATTGTGCATATTTTCCATATCATAAAGCGGAAAAGAATATTCATGTATTTAAGCGTGTGAATGTGGCTGTGGGTGTAGATGTGGATGGGTATAGGTGTGTAATATAAAAGAGTCACATCCACACACACCACACCCACACAGTGAGCAGAAAAAAGGGCCCAGGAGCAATTCTTTTAATGACTGCAGCTATTAACTTAATATTCTGTGTATATATAGCTGGCACTTCATACAGATTATCTGCGCTTACCCAGTCTCTCTTACTCGAAAGATTCCTGGAAAATGAAGTTTTTGACTTTCGAAAACTACGAATTAGTACAATGAAAAGTAGTTGTTCCATTGTAATATTTTTTAACAAAAATGGGATAACATATTTTTACATACTTGATACAGTTATTAACTATGTATGAAATAAATTCACCATAGACTAATTATTCTTCAAGAATCTGAAGTAGGCTGTCATCAATAAATTGTTTTCAACTTTTGAATCCTTGCAAACAAAAAGTAATAAGGATGCGAATTACCTAAATGTAAAATCTTAAGACTTCTAAGGAAAATTTCGCTGTTTAGTTATAGTGGAGAACACATACGCGTATATGTCAAACATCTTTAGAGAAAATATTTGTTTTAGTAGTTTATTACTTCGAAAAACCCTCTTAGTAGCAAATTATGAAAAAAGTTACGAGGGAACATTACCAACTGATT